GGGAAGAGGAAAGAACTCCAGAAACTACATAAACCTTACAAGCTCTTTGGAGTTTTAATTCTGTCTGTATTTTCTCTATTACCTTCAAAAATAAATAAGTCTCAAAGAGACACATAAAAATCTGCCATGCAAAAGTGCTGCTACACTAATTTTGAAAAGAGACAAGCTCTACTCTGGGTATCTTAGGACAGTCAAGCTCTCATGACTGGCACTATTCTACCAGGAACAAAGGCTGCCCTGGCCCAGTGCGTGTTGGCCTTACTGACCCTGGGTCCTGCCCCCAGGGACTCTGATGTCAGTGATTTGAAGTGTGACCTCTACTTTAGGGTTTTTAAAATCGCCCTGAGTGGCTCTCATGTGGAGCCAAGTTTGAGAGGTGTTGTTCTAGTGAGCTTGGTGAGATGTCTGATCTTTTTTCCGGTACACTAACTTGTATAGAATTGTACTAATCAAGCATAAATATCTGTTGCATAAATAAAGTTAAAACTATCTTTAGAAAATGATCCTCCTATGTTTCTGAGATAATTGCAAGAAGAAAAACATAGGCAAATATTTTAAATGTTTTCTTCCACTCTAAAGCACATGAAATAGAGATCTCTACCCCCTCTTAAGAAAGACCTCTTTCCTTCACCATTTTAACATCAAAATTGCATTACTAAATTTGTTATAAATGCAATGCCTTCATCCATTCAGAAAATATTTACTGAGCACCTACCAGTAAATACACTAGCCATTGGGCATATGTCACTAAACAAAAACGTTCATGGTCTGTAGGAGAATATAGGCGAGTAATCAGACCGTGTGTGATCAATGGGAGAAGTGATATCGTCAGGGAAGTTCTGTGTGCAGTGGGAGCCCAGGGGAGGAGCCCTTCCTACAGTCTGTGATTAGAAGCTGAGGCCACAGGATAAATCAGCTTCATCCCTGACAAGTTGGAAAAGGGAACCCAGGAAAATATCAACATTAAAGAAATGGTCAGAGGACAAAAATCTAGGGAAGGAAGCTGGGAAGACACAGAAAGAACATGGAGTGAGATGAAACACAACCAAGGAAGAAGAGTTTCAAGAGGGAGGGTGTGGCAATGATATTAGTACTATCATCTCCACTTTACAGATGAGAAAATTGAGGCTGAGAATTTTGAGGTTTGGCTGCCAAGACCTTATTTGCATGTCTGTCTTTATTCATACTTCAGAGACTGGCTCAGCGCGCACAGGTGTGCCATCGCTGCCACCCCTGAGTGGCAGGGGGCAGAACTGGAGCAGAGGTCTCCCAGGAAGTCAGGCCAGCACGTATCTTTCTTTTCTCTTGAAACAATAGACTTGAGAAGAAGCAGGAAGGGAATGTATTTAGCTATTAATACTTTGGTAATTGTTTTCTTCTTTTAAAAATAAATGGAAAGTAATATCTAGCATAGCATATATGCATTAAACTTCATAATTTCGAAAATGCTTTCACTACATTACCCAACTTTCAGCCTCCAAATAACACTGTTGGATAGAAATAATCACTACCTTCCTTACGACAGATGCAAAAACTGGTACCCATGTATATTGAGTGTATTTCTCAGGGTCATGCAAACAAGTTGCAAATACAACCATTAAGTGCCTTTTTTTTTTTTTACTATATTGTAAAATGGCATAAAATTAGCATGTGCCCACCGTCTCTGGATTGATTTCCCTGCTTGCTTTTCTCAGTTTCTTCTCTTCGTGCCAACTTGTCCTAGAAAGAATTTGAGGGCCCCATTTGTACGACACTGGGCTTTTTCCACATGCAAGGAACAAGGCTGACATAGTTCGTTGAATAAACACAAGAAGCAAGTGACAGTGATTTACGTCCAACTTGCAAACTTCTGATTACCAATCCGCTGCCTGCTATGTAAACAGGTGTAAACTAAGATTTAATCGGTTTACATAGTGCGGTAAATAATTTAATCTCTCCTCAGCACGGTGCTTGCGAATGTAAATGTTTAAGCCAAAACTGATGCTCACATTGTGATGCAAGCGTCCAGTTTCTCAGCCAGGAAAGCTTTGTCTACAAATGGCCCTCAAGTGCCCCTGCCCAGGGGAAGGCGGGCGGGGCTAAGGCAGAGACCCCAAGTTCTGGGTGGAGACTTCATTTTTCTCAAGGTAAAGCTCAGTCATAGGCACAGAGAGTTGGCGGAGATCTCTTTCCCCTTAATTTCTCCTGGTCCTGAGATATTTCTTCCTCCTTCAATTTTTCTTCATGGCACTGTTCTGCCGATATCTACGGTGGCTGCTGGTATATGAGGAAGGTAAGAAGACAGCAAAAAAGCAAGGAAACAGCAGCCTTCAGGCTAGTTACATTAACATTCTCGCTTGAAGATTCCCTGGGCACTCAGGCCTGTCACTGCATGCCTATGCAAATGGGATCTAGATCCTATGGAAATCACATGCAAATGTGCTCTCAGTTGTCAAAAACTGTTTACTACACCTGCTAGAGTCCACTGAACCAGAGAATGTTGCTTCCCATGAATTTTTCATCGGTATTACTCATGTTCTGAGAAGGCAAGGAAGGGAACGGGCTTGCTCTTCCTCTCCACAGTATGAGCCTGGGCCATTTCTGGAATGGAAGGCCCACAGCAAGGCCATGGCTCTACTGCCCCATACTGACATGGCTGGGGTTGACTAGAGGAAGGTGATACCAGATAAGAAGTTTCCTGATTTTTTGTTTTTCTGTTCCTTTAGAGAACTCCAGCTTATAAGCAAAGGTTGTATTTCCTGGCATCATTGGTAATGCCCTGGCTGGGATTTTATTAGTTCAAAACAAAATATTAAAGAAGACCTGGTCAAATTAAAAGGTTTCTGCACAGCCAAGGAAAAAATCATTAGAGAAAATAGACAACCTGCAGAATGGGAGAAAATAATTGCATGCTGTATATCTGATAAAGGGCTCATAACTAGAATCTATAAAGAACTCAAGCAAATCAGAAAGAAAAAATCAAATAACACCATTAAAAAGTGGTCAAAAGACATGAACAGACACTTTTTAAAAGAAGATAGACTAATGGCCAATAAACATGAAAAAATGCTCAACATCTCTAATCATCAGGGAAATGCAAATCAAAACCACAATGAGATATCACTTAACTCCAGTGAGAATGGCTTTTATCAAAAAGTCCCCAAACAACAAATGCTTGTGTGGTTGCGGAGAGAGAGGAACACTCCTACACTGTTGGTGGGACTGCAAACTAATTCAACCTCTGTGGAAAGGATTATGGCGATACCTCAAAGAGCTAAAAGTAGACCTACCATTTGATACAACAATCCCATTACTAGGTGTTTATCCAAAGGAAAAAATGTTTTATTGAAAAAGACACCTGTAATTGAATGTTTATAGCAGAACAATTCACAGTTGCAAAGATGTAGAAACAACCCACGTGCCCACCAATGCATGAGTGGATTAATAAAATGTGGTATATCTATACCATAGAGTACTACTCAGACACATAAAAAATGGTGAACTACCTCTTGTATTAACCTGGGTGGAACTGGAGACCATTCTTTTAAGTGAAGTATCACAAGAATGGAAAAACAAACACCTTATGTAACCTCACCATTAAATTGGAAAGAATTGATCAACACTTATGTGCACCTATGGAAATAACATTCATTGGAAATCAAGCAGGTGGGAGGGGGATGTAGGGGATGGGTAAATTCACACCTAACAGGTATAATGCACACTATCTGGGGGATGAGCACACTTATAACATTGACTCAAACTGTACAAAAGCAACCCATGGAACCAAAATGTTTGTACCCTCATAATATTCTGAAAGAAAATTAAAAAAAGAATAAAAGAATGCCTATGGTCAGGATTTGAACTAAGCCCTGCATAAGAAATGGATATGATTTGCTCCTGTACCTACCTAATTTATGGTAGGGACAGAATAGCTACTATTTACTAAATGAAAGGAGTTTCTTTTTATGAAAGCTTTTTATCTGTTTATTCAGAAAGTGTCTTTTTCTGAATCCATTTATCAGTAATTGGCACAAGCTGGGCACTGGGCTGGATGGATACTGCCTCATTGAATCGTCAGCTGAACCCTCTGCTGTGGGCATCATCCTCACTTTGCAGGAAGGAGACCCAGACCCAAAGAGTTAAGCACTTGCCTGAGGTTACTCAGCTGATCAGGAGGGGACTCTCTGAAAGCTCCTCCTCTTAAATTATGCTCTAAAGCTTTTGTTCTTTCTAATCGCGCATAACTTCAAAAGTAAGGTGCTCCTGGCTATGGGTTAGGAGTATGCATACATAAAGGTCAGGAAGGAGAAAGCAAAAAGACTACGATAGCAATAATAATAGCCAAAATATGTTACATTTTATGTTTGAGAACAAATTTACTGAAGTTTATGTTTTACTCATATTAATCCATTTAGTTCCTACATCAGCCCTATTAGATAGGTATTAGTATTATCATCCCCATTTTACAGATGAGAAAACTGAGCAGAGAAAGAAACCTTTCCGATATCACACAGCTAATAAGTGTCTGCACTGGGACAGGCCAGGCAGTTTCTCCCAGAGCCTGTGGCGGCGAGCTGCACTCTGCGGAGATGCCAGCACAGAGCTGGACTCGGGTGGCACGTGGCACGTCTGAGAGACTCCTAACACTTGCTCTCAAGGAAAGCGATAATTAGAGCAGAAATTCTTTTAAAAAGCACCCAGGTGATGCGGTGTGCACTGTCGGGGGGATGGACGGGCTTGAAGCTCTGACTCGGGTGGGGCAAGGGCAATATACGTAACCTAAACATTTGTACCCCCGTAATATGCTGAAATAAAAAAAATTAAACAAACAACAACAACAACAAAAAGCACCCAGGTGAGACTGTGGAATCTCCTCTGGGAGAGAACATGTTCACAGAAAGCAAGGCGGTGGCCTGCCTGCCACGACTGGAGAATGTGTCTGTGCAGGTGAAGACAGCCACACAGACAGACAGACACGACAAGCTCAGGCAGCACGCCAAGGCTGGGACAGTCTGACTTACTTCCTGACTTCACTCTCTGCGCTTTCCACCGCGTAGTATCCGGGTTTGCATTCGTATCTGCAGACGGTGCCCACGTCGTGGCTGCCCTGCAGGCAGTGAGGCAGGAGCAAGTCGGCGTTTGGAATGATGGGGGGAACGCCACACTCCAACTTGCAGTAGACGTCGGGGAGAGACCACAGCCCGTCCTCCAGACAGGTCAGCCACGGGCTCAGTCCTGACGCCCGGAAAGAGAAGCACAGGGTGTCAGAACACAGTCCAGAAAGACAACGCCAGCAGGAAGAATGAACATCTGTCACATCTGGGATTCTCCAAAAGTCGTGTTAGTCTTTCTTGAGCAGCGTCTCAAAAGTCTCACACCAGATGCTCACCCCTGTCCACAGAGCACCCGGTACGGTCTCTTACCCAGACAGTGGCCAGGCGGGTCTCCCTTGACCTGGAGGAAAGAAGGGCTACCAACCGGTCACCACTCCCCTCCTGCCCGCAAGTAATAAAACTACAGCAGTGACAGTATCATGGAAAGCATTAAAATAATAATAGATGACACTTTCATAGCACTTATTACATGCCAGGCACTGTTCTAAGCATTTTACAGGTATTAGCTCGTGTAAACATTCAACCTCAAACAGCCCTGTGAAGCAGATCCTATTAGTATCCCCTTTTGTACAGATGAAGAAATTTGGGTTCAGTAACTTGCCTCAGCTAGTAAGGGGAAGAGTCAGGATTTGAACCCAGGCAGTTGGATGGAGAGTTCTGTACTGAAATGGCACATGTATGCCTCAGTATAATTCGTGGTTTCTCCAAGTGCAATCCACGGACTACTCACTGTAGAATCACTAGCCCACCCCAGACCTCCTAAACCAGAACCTCCCAGGGTCAGGCTCCAGAATGGGCATTCACAGCAAGCCCCCTGAGAAAGTGTTAGGCACGCCAGAGGCTGAGCGGCCTGGTGAGGCGAAGAGAACGCTGTGGGGCTCAGTTAGAGCAGCTCCTGCCCCATCTTCAGCTATTACCGGCTCTGTAGCCAGGAACAAATACTGTAGCTGTGTTCCCATCTACCAGTAGAGCTAAACACACATTACTCAGGATGGTTGTAAATGTTAAATTTTAAAATGTGCATGATACCTTGACTATTCATATTATCAGGACAACCATTGTAGTTGCCTTAACTTTGGGGTACACACAATCAGATAACAACAGAGGGAAGTCTAACATTCTTCATTAGTGAGATCCTGAGTCAGTGCATCCTTCCAGGACGTTGGAAGTTGGTGTTATTAGAAGATGGTGACACAGTGGAATGAATAGGAAAGGTGTTGGAGGGAAGGAAAGAGCCCCAAAGTGCCCCAAAGTACCCCAGAGAGAAAGGGAATGCAACTCCTAGCTGGCCAGACAATACCTTGCAGCTTGGCTGGTGGGACACAAGAGATCGAGCAGCGTTTCAGAAAGCCGGTTCCCTCTGAGCAGGAGAAGGTTGCATGGTTCACCAGAGACGGGTCAGGAACTCCACAGTCCAGCGGCATGCAGCTCACATCCCGGTCCCAGTGCCCGGAAGAACATGTGAGCAGAATTTCCTTCTAGAAACAGAGAATTTGCCTCTGTCAAGGTCACATAAAAAGGCTTATCAGAATCATTTCCAGGCTTTGGAAGAGTCCTGGTAATCATTTGTCCGAACGACCGAAACAGGTACAATGACTTTGCCTTTGTCCCTCTTCATGCCTCGTTGTTTGAGTACACAGTCTCACAGTGCTCAGGCCTGGTGCTGATGGCAGAAGCCTGTTAGTGGAAGGGAGTCGAGGGGCGAGACTCCCCCAGGCTGGCTCTGCTGGCTGCCCTCCACTCATTCCTCCCATCTACTCTCCACCCTCCTCGCTCCTGCTCTGTGGGCTCCATGGCGCTCAAGCGTGCTTGGGTTCAGGCCCTGGGACCCAGCGGCAGAACCAAGAGGGAGACACAAGAGGGAGGCCAGGATGCTGATTCTTCTTACTCCCTCCTGGGGGCGCTGCAGATGAGCTGTGCCCTTTGGGACCCCACTCCATCCAGCGTCTGCTCCTTCTGATGCTGCTGCTGCTGCTGCTGCAGTGGCCGTGCAGGCCTGGTGAAGATCACCAAGCCTCTTCACCCTGGGGTACTGCCTCATCCCCTTGTGATTTCCCTGTATCCTGCCCACACCTTTACAGGTAGTCCCTTTACTAATTTTTCTCCAATTGCCTATTTTCGAGCACGTCATCTGTTTCCTGCTGGCATCCTTATTAATAAGCCAACTGACAATGCTAGTGAAAATAACTAGCTCCACCGAGAATGGTGCATGGTAAGAACATCTGAGAGCAAATGCATACGATGCACCTTCCAAACTTGTGGTTGAATGGGAGAGATTCCAGGTGCTTCCTGGGGCCTGTCATTTCAGTAGGGTAGCCCTGAAGCACATGGCTACTAATCACATGAAGAGATGCTTACTGAGCAGCTGTACTAAACAAGATGCCCCCAAGAAGCTAAGAATATACCAAGGGAGCAAACTGCCTGTTGAAACAGTGGCTCTGAAAACATCTGAGGGAGGAAGAATGGAAACGAGAAAAGGAGGGGGGAAGGCAGGAAAGAAAGTAAAGAGGGAAAATGCTAGAGTTGCATTTTAATCTGTTCATCCTATCCTATCTCCTTCTATAATGATTGGAGAGAATGCAAACAATAAAATAAAAGCAGTAGAAAACTGGGACCAGGAAGAAAGAAGATATCAATATGCAAAAATAAAGCCATATTATGTGCTACCTGCTGTTTTGTGGTGGTACAGCAGCACCCTGGGAGCTGGAGGAGCGACTGCCATCCTTGGGCAGACAGGGAGAGCACTTAGGGGAGGTTTCCCAGAGTAAGCAACACAGGCACTGGCCTTTGGAAGATGATCAGGACTTCCCCGAAGCACAGGGCAGGCGGGAGCAGGTTTCTAGGGAGGGGATCCAAAGGAGCAGGGCCTAGAGACTGGGGGCTTATGGCTTGTTTGGGAAGAGTGCAGCCATCATTCTAGCCACTGGACTCCCAAAGGTCAAAAACAGAGAGGGACATGTCTATGTTTGAGCCAGTTGTCCTACCAGGAGACTGCAGAGGCACCAAAGCCACAGGTACAATGGCTGCTGAGGGCACCTGCCACACCTGAAACCAGTCCTGGGTGCCTGCTCCTGCCTGCCTCCCAGTGCTTCCCTGTGGCCTGCCAGAAGGACCCAATTCAAAGCCAGACACATTTTTCTGTTTAGTTTCAGTTCTCATGCCAACAAAAAGCAAATATCCCCACTGTCTTGTGATCATGAGCTCGGATTGTATAATGTCTTTCATGGGGCCAGCCTCCAGTGACAGGAGCGTTTGGCCAGCTGAGGAACTCTGTCACTGACTCCACCATTTGGTTGGCAAAGGGTGAGCTCCTCCTTCCTCCTCCCAACTGAGATGCTGCCCGTCACCGTCTTACAGCCTCTTACACCCTCTGGAAGTCTCACTCAAACCACAGCAAGCCACTATCACTGAGAGAATATCTCTCGAACTCCTCATATATCGCCTGGTTTTCCTCCTGGCTTTGTTAGGTGTTGTCTGTTTTGTCTTGAATTTGCTCCTGATTTTAATGCATTATAAACATTGTCTTTTCTTCTCTCCCCTTCTTCACCTATCACATCAGTGTATTTGGTCCCTGCATTTTTTTTTCATTCTTTCTCTTTTCGGGGGTGGGCATATCTTTTTCTGAATTGAGATAGATAAAGAACAAATTATAACAGCTCCAACTTCCTGACTACAGAATCATAGACCAAGAAGTTGGTGCCTCAAAGTATATTAAAGTTGTTTCTCTCTAGGCAGAACCTAGCCCATTGGAAACCAAAGATCGTGTCTTTAAATTCTGACCATCCATAAGAAAGTGAAATTCTCTCATAGGTTTACAGCATATTAAGTAATCAATTGGCATAAAATGAATAAAATTCTATGGCTCCAAACCATTGATGTCTGGTACACAGTTGTGTGCCCACTCTTTCCTCATCATATATCTTTCTGGTTCTCTTGGCAAGTACTGTTATTATTTGCCTGGTACTCCCTTTCTCTATCTCATATGGTCATGTTTCCTAACTGCTGATTTCATGGTTAAAATTCCTCTGTGCAGTATTGTAAACTCTCTAAAGGAAAGATGGAAAACAAAATTCTTAATTGACAATACGTTACGCTGCTCATAATAACGGCAGCTTAACAGAATGCTATGTGCCTATCATATTACTAGAGGCATTTAAATTATTTTCAATCAGACACCATAATAACTCAATGATATAAGGACTTCTCATTATTTACAAATGTGAAAACAAGCTTAAAGAGGTTAGTTTTGCTTGTCTTTACCCAACTTTACATACCTAATACATAAGGAAGCCAAAATTTCATTCAGATCTGTCTCCTAAGCCATATTCCTCTTAACCAATATATTCTACTACTCTAAATTACCTTGAGATTCTGAAAATGATGCTATAGAAATTTGTAATGGAGCCTGAAGAAATTTGGAAAATTTTGCCAAAGCTAGAATCATGATAGAATTTCTGCCTCAGTAACAGATTTAGCACTTTGGGGGAGCAAATTTGGTTCTATTTCTCCAGCCTTCTCATAAGGAAGGTTGGAGGAAGGGGACAGACACCGAACCTCAGGTAAGTTGATTGCAACCTTTCTTGCCTGTAAATTATGGACAAGTCTAGATTGTGGCATTCTCACCTTGAAGGCAAAAGTAGGGAACATGATTTCTGGCAGAAAGACGAAAACAAGGGAGAAGAACAGAATAAGCATTGCCACTTACTGCCCACCTGGAGAGAAACACACCATTTGATCAGCATTGCACATGCTTTTATATACCCAGCATTTCTATTAAGCCATGCTTCCCTGCTTGTCAGAGCCCTCATGTTTTCCTTTCAAAGGATTTTTTAAAATCTGCCCTTCCCCTACTGGGCCAGCAGAAGAGGACAGACAGTTTCCCTCCCCAGGAGCTTGCTCACGGGAGCATGACCAGGTCCTTTCAACTCACCTGCACGGGCCTGAGGAACTGCCCGCTGCTGGTCTGAAGGGCACATCCCCTTTGACAGGTGATAGCACACTTCATGTGACCTGGGCCACTAGAGGTACAGTTCGCCACATCAGCGTGATCAAGCAGCAATGGCACACAGCTGCCCTGCTCCCCACAGGGCCGATGGACACAGCTGGGATGACAGAAACAGAAGCATCTTAGGACCGGCTTGGAACCAATAGGCAGCAGCAATGACTTGGCAGCTCCCTTGGGGAAGTGTCCCTAAGCTAGAAAGGATGATTTTTTTCCAAAGCCTACATTTAACTCATCACCTTCTTCTGTCCACCTGGAACCATGTGGCAAAATAAACGTAAATGATAATAGCTAACAAGTAACAACTAACTGGCTTCCTATGGCTCTTTCTTCCAGGAGGGTCAAATGATGATGGGACCAGGTGGACAGTGGATCTCAAGAGTTCTGGATGATCTCAGAAATAGCAGATCAGGGATGATACTTGAAATGTTTATTAGTACTGCCGGGTCCCCAACAGTCAGTACAAATCCAGGAAGAAGCTCAGGAGTGAATCCTGGAGTCCCCTGCTGTGTCAGGCACCAGCCTTTTGAATGCTGGCCACAGGGAGGTCCCAGTAGCCCCTGTCTGAAGGGCCTGGGTATCTGGGATGGCAAAAAGGCACTATCCATTTATGGATTGATATGGAAATATTTTGACAACTGGCACAGCCATACCAGCATACACCACTGAATACCAGCACAGGCTAATCAGAAATTGAGCTGACATTGTGTCAGGTGTTTCCAGAGACATCCTCTCAGCAGAGAACTGCTGCCTGGATTACTAGGGCCAAGAAATCAGGGACAGAAAAGACACATAAACTCCCCAGCGGTCAGGGAGACACCCTGGACCATAGCAGCAGCAAGAGTGCAATGGAGCCAAAAGAGTGCTACCGTCTTGCTGTGGCAGAGCCATAGAGGCTAAAAATTAGGGCATTGGCACCAGCCTGTTTGATCCCAGCTCCATCATTTACTCCCTGTGTGATTTGCAGTGAGTGATTCATTCCCCAGTGTAGTGAGTGATTCATTCCTTGAAAGATGGGGATGGTAATGGTACCCATCTCACAGGGCTATTGTTCCCAGCTGAGTTACATCCACTGCTTCATTGCAAAGGGCCCAGGTCCAGCCCCCACGGTCTGTTTGCTGTTAGCCACCCTGCTGGTGGTTCTCCCACTTTTGTACCTTTACTCAGTTTGAGAAATTTTAAAGGCCTTCTGCTGTGGTTTGGATATGGTTTGTCCACACCCAAACTCATGCTGAAATTTGATTCCCAATGTGGTGGTGATGGGGGTGGGGCCTAGTGGAGGGATTTGGGTCATGGGAGCAGAGGGACCCTCATGGGTGCTGTTCCCATGGTAAAGAGTGACTGAATCCATTCTCACTGAAAGGGATTCATTACCATGACAGTGGGTTGTTATAAAGTGACGAGGCCCCTCGGGCTTTGCCCCTTTGCACATGCCTGCTTTCTTTTTAACCTTCTGCCATGGCATGACACAGCAGGAAAGTCTTCACCAGAAGCCAAGCAGATGCTCACTCTGCATCTTGTACTTCCCAGCCTGCAGAACCAAAAGCGAACTAAATGTCTTTTCTTTATAAATTACTCAGCCCCGGGTATTATATAGCAACTCAAACCAGACTAAGAGAAAATATTGGTACCGAGGAATGGGGTGTTGCTATAAAGACGCCCCAAAATGTGGAAGTGGCTTTGGAACTGGATAATGGGCAAAGGTTAGAAGAGTTTGGAGGAATAAGCTCAAAAAAGACTATATTGCTGTGAACAGATCATGAAGGGTGATTCTGGTGAGGGCTCAAAAGAAGATAAAAAGATAGGCAAAGTAGGGAACCTCTTGGAGATTATTAAGTGGTCCTGACCAAAATGCTGATAGATACATGGACAGCAAAGGCCATTCTGACAAAGTCTCAGATGGAAATCAGGAACAAGGTATTGGAATCTGGAGCAAAAGTCACTCTTGTGACTTACACTCTAGCATAAATCTTTGTTGCCCTAGGGCTTCGTGAAAGGCCAAACTTAACAGTGACAGAATAGCATTCCTGGCAGAAGAAATTTCTAAGCAGCAAAGCACTCGGATTGCTGTGTGATTACTTCTAACTGCTTTCAGTAAGTTGCCATAGAAAGGAAAAGCATATTGGAAAGGTTTTGAAAAGTCACAGCCTGTCCATATGGTAGAGAATGAAAGAGCGTTTTCAAGAGAACTCAAGGTTGCGGCTGAGGGACCTGTTGCTAAACAGATTCGTACTGATGGAATGGAGCCAGGTGCTATTCCTCATGACAATGGGGGAAAGGCACTGAAGGTATTTCAGAAATCTTTGAGGTTGCCCTTCCCATCACAGGCCTAGAGGCCTAGGAGGATTGAATGATTTCAGGGGACTGGTCCAGGGCATCACTGCTCTGTGGTGCCTCAGAAGGCTGCTCCCCACCTGCTGCTTCAGTAGCTATGACTCAAGTGGCTGCAGGTGTGGCTTGTGCTATGGCTCCAGAGAGTACAAGCAGTAAGCCTTGGACATGTCCACGTTCACATGGAGGTCTGTAGGTGTGCAGAATGCAAGAGCTCTGCAGGCCTAGCACCTTCCATCTAGATTTCAGAGGATGCATCCAAAAGCCTGGGAGCCCAGGCAGAAACCTGCTGCAAGGGCAGGACCACCACAGAGAGTCCCTACCAGGGCAATGCCCAGTGGAGCCACAGTGGCAGGGACTGCTGCCAGTATACCAGAACTGTACAGCCATTGGCGGTGTGCAGTCTCAGCCTGGAAAAAAGCTGTAAGCAGTCAACTCCAACCCATGACCGCAGCCACCTGGGCTGTGCCTACAAAAGCTATGAGGTGAGGTTTCTTTTTGGGGAGAAGGCAAACCCCTTATTGTGGCCTGGATGTGGCACATAAAGTGAAGAATTTTAGAGCTTTAAATAATCAAGGGGAGAGGGGGGCATGGGCAATATATATAACCTTAACACTTGTACCCTCATAATACGCTAAAATAAATAAATAAATAAATAGTAAAAACAAGATCTGTGAACATAAAAAAAAGATTTAATGTCTACACTTCTGGGTTTCAGACTTGCTTGGGGCCTGTCACTCCTTTCTCCTGGACAATTTTTCCCTTTTGGAATGGAAATGCTTACCCAGTGTTTGTTGTACCATTTTATCTTGAAAGTAAATAACTTATTTTTTATCTTACAGAGTCGTAGATGGAAGTAGCTTGCTTTGAGTCTCAGATGAGACTTTGCACTTTGGACTTTTAAGTTGGTGCTGGAACAAGTTAAGACTTTTAGGTTTACTGGGATAGAATGATTGTATTTTGTGTAAGAGAAGGACATAAGTTTTCCGGGGCCAGTTTGGGATGCTGTGGTTTGGATATGGGTTGTCTGCATCGGAACTCATGTTGAAATTTGATCCCCAGTAGGGTGGTGTTGGGAATTGGGGCCTGGTGGGAGGTGTTGGGGTCCTGAAGTGGATCCTTCATGATTGGCTTGGTACTGTTCTTGCAGTAGAAAGTGAGGCCTCACTCTCATGAGACTGGTTTGCTCCTGGCTGAAATGGATCAGTTCCGGCAAGAGTGGATTGGTATAAAGCCAGGACTCTCCTGGGTTTTGCCCCTTTGTATGTGCCTGCTTGAAGCTAAGTAGATGCCCATGCCATGCTTCTTGTACTTCTCAGCCTGCATAACCAGGATCTAACTAAGCCCCTTTTCTATATAAATTACTTAGTCTCAGGTATTCTTTTATAGCAACACAAAATGGACTAAGACACCTTCCTTCTTCAAGAAGCCCCTTCAGATATTTTCCTCCTTTGAACCTTCTAGTGAAATTAAAAAAAAACAACTCCATTCTAACATTTATTTTACTCAATCCTGTATTATAGTCATGTATGTATTTTCTTGTTCTTTAATTCATTAATTATTTATTCATCCTTTTTTCCACAAGGTAATTGGTATCAGTGTCTCCTAAATGCTGAATATCCCCATAGATTATGGCTTCTTGAAGAGAAATACTGACTATTATATATTTTATATTCAATTTACACCTTGCTGTAGTAGACACAATCAAAGTTTTCTGAATTAACTTTATGTTTCATGACAGCAAAGTAAGTCAGAGGCTATCAAAATGGGAAATTTGTTAAATTTTACAGTGACAGATGTAAAATACAAAAATATCATTATCAAACAATGACGCAACCATCTTGCCCACTCATTCATTAATAAACATTTACTGAGAAATTACTGTTTGCAAGGCATTGGTCTGAGTACTGGCAGTTTAATGAGAATGGTGCCTTTAGGGAATGATAGTCTAGTGTGGGAGACTAATAAGATATTTTCTTGTTCTTGATGTTATTGTCAGTGGTGTTAATTAAGTCAAAATAACTATTATGGATCTGGTCACCATTAATGTGCTGTTTGCCCTTGAATTATGTTAGTGGCCAATGACTTTATCAAAGAGCGGGGCAACAATATAAGTAGAAAATAAAATGTCATTGAATATTCACATACTGCCTTGAAATAATTGAGAGCTGATTTAAAAAGCACTAGCCCTACAATGGCAGATTCGAAAGGAATATGCTAAAGTTGCTGCCCCTGACCTTATGAGATTGAAATCATATGCCAGAGATGTTGTCATTTATTTTATCTACACTTGTTAGGATGGGCTGGAGGGATTAGAGGTGAGTGGTGTGAAGGAAACTTGTTTACTCCTTTAAGCCCTGGTTATTCCCTGTGATGATGCAGTATCCACCAAGGGGCCTGGTGAAGGTAGAAATATGTAAGTTGGGGCTGTTAATGATTCAGCATAGATTCCCCAAATGCATAACCAATCCTGATGATTGGTTATGCAATATAGAAAATAAATCTTTGCTTCTGAGTATTTATTCAATATATCTGGAGATGGGAACTGAAACCTGACCATCCTTTATGGGATGAGATCAGAATGCCTGCTTAGTAATGCTAAAGAACTGGAAGTTCCATAGATGCTACATGCCCATGATGTCCAAAACACACTCTCTTCTTCAGCATGCTGGGCAGGAAGTACTGGAAGACAGAGAGTCATGATCACTCTGGTTCATGTCGGTTTATTGCAAAGAAATTAATGTGGAAGAGCACGTGCTGTTTTTGAGT